AGGATTTCTCCAAAAAAAAAAATTTTTTGCTTAGGGTTCCCTAGGCCACGCTTGGTTTATTTTTGTTATTCTTAGCTTTATTATTATTTCACTCCAAAAGTGTCTCTGTTTGAAGTATAAATTATATGGTCAGCTGTGTTGGCCTGGGCCCTGTGAAAAGCAGATTCCAATATGGAATTACATATGCGAGGACTTCATTAGAGGAATCACCTTTAAGAGAAGGTAACCTTGAGAGAGCCTCCAGGTCATCAGGCAAGTCTGACCTGAATAAAGAAAAGAGGGAAAGAGGATAAGGTGGATGGGAGCCTCCAAGGTAAGATGGCCAAGCAGGCTGGTGGAGGCCGTCAGGGAGTCTGGAGTCAACACTGACCATCAGATGATACACAGGTCTCTTGGGAGGTCTCAGTGTTCCTGCCACATTCAGTCATTGGCTGGGAGCAGCCCGTGGGCATCATGTCGTGAGTATGGAGGTGGTGATGGACGTACCAGGAGAGCCCTTGGTTAATTACTCCACCACGTTCGGATGTCTACAAGGCAGGTGTATTCCCGTGACATTTGGTGGCACCTGGAGACTATTTTGGTTGTCATAACTGGGGCACAGGGAGAGTGACTGATTCCTTTGGATAGAGATCAAGTATGCTACTAAAGATCCCACTCAGGACAGCCCATGATACAAAGAATCATTCAGCCTCAAATGCCAATGGTGCCCAGACTGAGCAACTCTGCTTTAGAGGAAATGACTCAGGAATCACCTCTAGTCACCCGGAGCAGGGAACCAGTTTCAAAGTTGCCCTTTAGGCTGCCTTCTCCTCCTTTCCTCTTACTTCCCTCCTCCCTCCCTGCCAGTGTTTTCCTTCCTTTCTCAGGTAAACAACTAACACTTCAATCTAACTCGGGATGTGCTTCTGAGGGAACCCAAACCAAGATAGTTTCTGATGCATTTGCAGTTCCTGATCCCAATGTTTCCTAAGGTGCAAAGCATTTAGGACAACAAGAACCAGCCAACTAGCAGGGTTTTATGTTGTTTGCTTGTTTTCATTTGTTTGGGCTGACTTAAAAGACTACCCTCTCTTCTAACACAAATTTCAAGCTCAAGGAGTTTCCAAAGCCACCTTCAATTTCAACCCAGAGGATAAACAGGGCTAGCCCACTCACTTTGTGCAGCTGTGTTAATCGAAGTAATAGTGTTTCCCAGTCTGAATCTCTACTGAGATCCCAGTTCCCTCAGGGCTGTCCTGATTTTAGCAATGAAAAAAGCCTTCAGCTTTTGGAAAACTCCTGATTAGCATTCGGAGAGGTTTTAGTTACTGGGAGCTTACCTAGGCAGTGAAGACTTCATTTGAAATCAATTAATATATATTTTCTGGATCAAAACATGGGGGCTGGGTGGGAATGAGCACTTGGATTCAGACACATTCCCTAAGCTCATACATTACTGAACACCAGCCTGGCTGGATGAGAGACCTCCCCCAGCACCACAGCACTGAGGTATCACAGTCCTGTGATGAGATCATGCCTAGAAAGACTTCTAAAACGGGAGACTGCTAAGATTCATCATTAATTATATATTAGAGGGCAATCAACCAGAAGAGCTTACCAGCCAGAAGAAAACCTCAGTGGCCAGCACCTGGGAATTAAGAGATGGTTTGGACTGACATCAGCCATCCCGAGACAAGGGGGAGTAGCCCCAGAGGTTCCTCCAGCCCCAGGGCCTACAGACCACAGTGTAGCAAATTTGAGCCTGGAGAACATGGGAATTGCTTGGAGAAAAACTCAGAGATGCCCACATGGGCTATAAATGTCCCTCAGCATTAAAGCCAGAAGAATCCAGAAATGCCCTGCATGCCTGGGACAAGGATAAAAGTTTTACCTTCAAAGAGTTCAAAATATGGCCATAGAAACAAAGACTCCAATGTACAGACAGCTCCCACAAATTTGCAATAGACAGCGAGTTCTCCAGGAGCTTGCTTCATTCACTTGCCCTATAAGTGGTCTTGAGCATCACCGTCATGTCAGGCTCTGCACCAGGAGCTAACCCAGGAGAGGAATCCCTGTCCCCGTGAAGCTCAGACTTCAGCAGAGACAAAACTGATGACATAATTAGACAATGAAGAAATGTTTGACAAATACCGCAAACTAGAATGACAGCAATAATACCCTGGGAGCCACAGTGTTTTTATTATTATTTATTTTAAACAAAAAACAAAAAGTCATTGTTGTCATAACTTCGGGCGACAGTAGGGAAGAAAATTAGTGGGGAAGGAAGCTGTAACCAGACAGAGCCTTCCTCTCATGGCTGGAATGAGTCTGGCAGGAACTGAGTCCACTGATAAAGCAGCCAGGAGGCCCAGGGGGTGACCAATGGGGTAGCAACAGAAAAGTGTGTGTGGTCTGAGTCTGAAAGGGTGACTTGCTTCCAAAGTTGTACCAAGGAAATGGAGAGAAAGTTGTGGAGGTATGAGTGACATTTAGTCTTGGTCACTACACAGAAGACCTGCTGTTCTCATGCTCCACCTTCATCCATTCACTTCCTTAAATTGTGCTGAGTGCCCCACTGCCTGGTAAGCTCTGCACCCAAGGCTGAGTTCGCACAGGGAACCTGAGTTCAGAAGCATCCTTGGAGGACTTGCCATCTGGTAGCACATAAGAAGCTATGATGGGTGTGGAAAGCCACCATGGGGCTAAATGGAGAAAGTCAAGAGTGCTCATTTCCCCATCAACACCCGACACTGCTCCAGTCCTGCTCCGCTGACACGGTTCCCTTCACTTTACCTATTCAGATGTCATTTTTTCCCATGATGCTTTTCCCCATGCTGCTCCAGAACCAGTTTCCTACTGATGTTTCCCAGCTTCGTCTGGCTCAATCATACTCATGTCCCTCATCCCCTTACTTGCAAGTTCTGTCTCTTCCTTTGTGCCACCATGGCACCTGTGTCACTCTCCTGTTAGAATATTTAGCATGCTGTGCAGACATTCGTGGTGGGAATCTCTTTTCCCTACTAGACACAAGGAAAGGGAGCCCAGCATCGTTTATTCTGTTTCCCAGTTTATTCATTCAGCACAGACCCGAAGGTTTTCAAATGAATTAAATGAACAAATGAATGAAATGGAAAGATGAAAAAAGTCAACTTTCTAGGAAATCTCAGTTCTAGAAAAAGGAAAGGGAGATGAGGTCAACGATTGTGAACAAAGATAATAAAGATGGCTGTTCCATTTGGTGGGGTTTTGCCGGCCCTTGGGAATAGATAGAATGGAGATTTGCAAAGATGAGAGCAAAAGGGCTCTCTGTGTGAAGTAACCAGAAGAGCAAAGGCACAGGTGGAGAGGGGAGTGAGGGGACAGGTGAGTGAGAGCACCCTGGCAGTGGCACAGTAGGATGGGCACTTACCATGTGCTGTGGCTTAAATGTCCATCTCCTACAAACTCACGTGGAAATTAAATTGCCATTGTAATGTGTTGAGAGGTGGGACCCGCAGGGGACTGGGTAGGCCACAAAGGAGTGAATTCCTTAGACAAGCAAGGATAAGCTCACCCCACCCCTTTTGTGTTTCACCCCCCCATCCCTCACATTCCTTTCCCTTTCCTCTTTCCCTCCCTCCATCTCTCTCTCTCCCTCCTTCCTCTTTGCCCTTCTGTCCTGAGTCAACAAGAGGCCCTCGTCAGATGCTGGCACTTTGATTTTGGCCTTCCCAGCCTCTAGAACACTGAGAAGATAAATTCCACTGTTTATAAATCACCCAGTCTGTAGTGTTCTGTTAAAGCAGCCACAAAAGAATCAAGACACAATGATAAAGAGCCAAGAAATTAAAATATGAGCCAACTTTTCCTAGATAACCAAAAATACTTTGAGGAACACTAACAAAAGGTCTTCCATCAAGAGCAGATTACTGTAAATAACAATTAAACCAGCCATGGTGGCCCATGACTGTAATCCCAGCAACTCAGGAGCCTGAGGCAGGAGGATTGCCAGTTTGAGACCAGTCTGGGCAATTTAGTGAGACCCACCTCAAAAAATAAAAAGGGCTGGGATATAGCTCAAGGTTTGATGTCCAGTATCAAAAAATAAATAAAAATAAAAAGATTCTAGATTAAACAACACATCCTATGAGGCCAGATGAGAGGACTTGAGAGGAGCCCCCCAGTTCTTGTACCCATATCTGTGACAGCACCATGCACCCGCAAGAGGGAGCTGGTGATTAGGACTTGATAAGAGAAACAAAAGCCTTGCAATAAGCAGATCCCATTCAGCTCAGCCATTCAGTATGTGAGAATCTAGAATACAGAAATAAACAGAACTACACACAAAACACATATCCACCGCTGTGTTCCTTATGGTACAGAAAGTGTGTAACCAAAAACTGAAAATAGAGAAAATATCAGATATCTTAAGAGATTAAATAAAATATATACATTTATAATTAAAATATACATACTTCTGAGATTCTATTTTAGAGGAATATTTAATAACATGAAGAAATTTTCATTCATATATTGAATTAAAAGAGCAGATTCCAAATTAGAACAAATTATACAGTAGATACATGAAACATAATGATTAAAACTCATCCTGAGTTCTAAGGTCAATCTGCCACTTACTACCTGTATACACTTGGGCAAGAAGTTGAACTACTGTGATTTGGTTCCTTCATCCATAAAATGGAATGCATATAGTATCTACCTCATAGAGTTATTATGAGTTTGTTAGCTTTTATACAAATGGACTTAAAGATGACAGGCACAAGGTTAGAACTTGACACATGATAACAATTACTATTACTGATGAGATGAACTTGTGATAAAAGAACATATATGCATATACATACACACACAACCATAATAATATATGTATACTTAATACCTAAGTGTGTTTACATGTGCATATTTGTGGGGGAGGAAAGAGGACAGTTTGGAGGAGACAGAAAAGGAAAAAACTTTAAAAGGATTATCCCCAGTATAATTATAGATTACTTTTTTTTCCTTATATTTTTCTCTATTTTCAGTTTTCTAATGCTGAAGCTTTGTTACTTCAGCAACTACTGTGGCTTGGGAAGATCTCTTACTCCACTCAAGCTCTGAACCAGTGGAGAGTATTACAAGGATTCAACAAGATGCAGATCAAAGTTTCCTTATTAATAATAAAACTATCTATGCATGTATATGTATCCATATGAATGTCATAGCCTAGGCTGTCCAAATAATATGATAACCTCCTAACAAATTGAGCTTATGCCAAAACCCCAGGCTCCTAGCTGGGAATGGCCCATGTCTTGCCAGGATTCCAACCAGGTCAAAGGCAGACGAAGATGCCTGCCCTGAATCTCCAGACAGAAGGCAGCCCTAGACTCTGATCCATCCCTCCTCCAGGGCTCTCCAACCTCGAGAAGGGCAGGCAGGAGGCCAGAAGTATCCCTCCAAAGGAGCTCCCTCATCTAGAAAATATAAAGCCTGGGGAAAGGTACCCTATTCCAACCACCTTCCAAACACAGGATTCAGAAATGAATTACTGACAGGCCCAGGGTCACACACCTGTAACCCCAGTGACTGGGGAGGCTGAAGCAGGAAGATCACAAGCTCTAGGCCAGCTTCAGCAACTTAGTGGAACCCTGTCTCAAATGGAAAATAAAAAGGGCTGGGAATGTAGCTCAGTGGTAAGGTACCCCTGGGCATTACTAAGGAAAATCCACAGTGTCCAAGGTATAGGGTCAGGAATTCTAAAATCCTAAAATTCAGTTTTGAGATTGTGACCGTTCCTAGAAGGAATCCCACATGACCTTTTAATAAGTTCTGATGATTTGGGTTCTCCCTTTCACATATCAGAGAGTGAAAGGTGAATGGGAGAAAGGAAAAAGAATAAGTCTAGAGTTGGCCTTTTGAGCCACTCAGACTTGTAGATTCAATCATATCACAATGTTTATAGTACCCAGGTGCATTTCACCTGAGCAAAAACAAAAATATCCTTTTGCAGGCATAGGTATGTATGACCTGCTCTTTAGCCTTCTTAATCACAAGGGGGAAATACATTAATTTGCTCAGAACTGTAACATATAAGCCCCTAAAGCACTCCATAGTGCAACATCTGGAATATATCAGCTATGCAAAGAGCCAGGAGAAGGGAGATAGGCTAAGCTTTAAAACTTGTGCAAACATGGAAGTGGGCTGAGGCATGGCATATTACAAGCCCATCTTCAACCTTATTTTGCTCCTGGATAATTAGTTGCAGGGTGAGTGACATTTACTAATAGAACTAAGGTTGACAAAGCCATTAAAAACATGTTGATTTAGAAGGACAAAGCTGAGGGAGGATGAAAGTCTTTGAGAAAAACCCAGATACCTCTCAACCTGTAACTGTTTTTTTAGACTTAAGGGTGTGTGTGTGTGTGAGTGGTTTCTCCTTGCCTAAAGACTCTCTTACCACCCTTTACTATGATGTAATCAGGGTAGTATCAGCTCCTTGTCTTATACCATGTGATCCGCATGTCTGGAATCTCGTGCAGCTTCCTGCACCTGGGAGTGCTACAACTTTTATGAGCTGACAAGTGATGGGTCATGCATCGCACATCATACCACCCTGTGCCCAGCACTCTTCCTGAGGACACTTCTGTAGCTCAGATAAGCACTTGACAGTCAAGGCCCTGAATACTACTCATGACAGAAATTTTTTAAATACTTTTTCAGTGGTCAATGGACCTTTATTTTACCTATTTATATGTGGTGCTGAGGATCAAACCCAGTGATCCACATGTGCTAGGCAAGTGCTCTACCACTGAGCCACAACCCCAGCCCTGTGACAGAAATTTTTATCCCCACTGTGGAAGAGTGCTGGAGATCCACAGAGCAGAGGAAGGCTGCAAAGGAGCCAAAAGCCACAAGGGTGGATTCCCATGTCAGAAAACTAGAACCAAGAAGAGTATGGATCCTAGGGTGGGCTTGGTGGCACACACCTGTAATCCCAGCAGCTCAGGAGTCTGAGGCAGGAGGATTGCAAGTTCAAAGCCAAACTCAGCAATTTTGCAAGGCCCTAAGCAACTTAGCAATATCCTGTGTCAAAATAAAATATAAAAAAGGATGGGGATGTGGCTCAGTGGTAAAATACCCCTGAGTTCAATCCCTGATACTATAATAAATAAATAAATAAATAAGAATCCTAGAATCAGAGCTGATTTTAAATTGTAGGTCTGTTTCTTTAGAGCTGGGCTACTTTGTCTCTCTGAGCCTTAGTCTCCTCATTTCTCTAGTAGTAATACTAATAATAGTATCTAAGTTGCTAGGGATGTAAATATTCAATTATGTGAAATGCCCAGAAGCCAGGGACTCAGCAGACATCAGTAAATCTTTCCTTCTTATGGTGCATTTTTCAGTGTAACAGTTGTTCAAATATTTATTCCCACTCTAGTTACAGGCTCCTAAAGATGGGGAACATCAGTGCTTATGATTCATCTTGTAATCAGCAACAGCCTGTGAAGTTTGAAAGCTTTGAGTACTGACCACAGACAGATTCCCAACATGTCAGAACCTGAAGAAACCTGAGAAATGATCTAGGTTGTGTGCTTTCCAAAATTTCCTTTTAGACATAGAATGCTTCCTTAAAAAAAAAAAAAAAAGTTTTTCAGATTTGGTAGAGAGATGTGATGGGAGGGGAGGGAAGGGGGAAGGGGGATAGGAAAGGGAGCAGAATAAAATAGACATTATTATGGCTGTATGTATATAGGGGACTGTATGACCAACGTGATTCTGCAGCCTGTACAATCAGAAGAATGAGAAATTATACCCCATTTGATTCAAATGTGTGAATTGTCAAGATCATTGTATTGTCATGTGTAACTAATAAAAATTTTAAAAAATAAAACCTTTTCTGTGAAATTCAGTAAAAATATCTATATAGCAGAGCTGATCTGGTGGTTGTGGTAAAGGGGAGCAAAGCATAACTGCCCACTCACTACTCACCCCTATGCATGCAGTGATGCCCTTGGAGCATCACATGCCCAAGACTCCTTGGTCCACAGTGGTCTAAAAAACAGTGATCTAATACACTCATCTTTTGGAAATGGAGGAGCCAAAGCCCAGAAAAGGCAAGTGATTGCTAAAGTGTCATTCAAGAATGAATGACAGAACGAGCTCTAGAACCTAAGACACTTTGCAAGTGATGACAACAGACAGCTCCCAATACCAAAAAGAAAGCTAGAGAAGAAGTCTATCTGTGGTGCTCCCAGTTAGTGCCTCTTCCTCGTCATCTCAAAGATACCCTGTACCCTCATTCTAGCCTTGCATGAGGCAGCCTTCCTCTCCTCCACTAATACAACGCTCCTCTCCAGTCTGCCTTCCCTCAAGTCTCCATCCTCCAATGTGTTCTGTCCCTTACCTCTCAATTTATCTTCCCTCCCTCTTGTTCCTTCAGCTCAGTACAGGTCAATGTGCTGTCAAATCAATCCACAACATGTATCTTGGGATGATTATATACTATCTAAATAACTTCCATAAAAGCATTTTAACAAGCACCTTCAAGAAACTTTTTTTTAAATAGCTCTAAGATTCAAGCTCATCACTAGGAAACGTGTTCTCCCAAACTGCACCATACCTCACTGTGTCAGTACTAGAATCTTTCCACCACGAACATCAGTCACTCTGGCCACATCCTTGACCCCAGTCAAGTTCCCATTCACCTCCCAACCCAGCCTATCCACTGTTAGATTTGGTCATTATAAGGAGGAGGACTTTGGCAAATTAGAGGAAAAAGAATGAGAGGGAAGGTGGGAGCAGAATTAAATATACTGCTACAGTTTGAATGTCTCCCAAAATCCATGTATTGAAATTCCATCCCCAGTGTGATGGTATGCTGAGGTGATTAAGTCATGGGAGCAGAGTCCTCATGGATGGGACTAGTGCTCTTATAAAAAGAACTTGAGAGAGGGGGTTCCCTCTGCTCTTCCACCAGGTTAGGGCCCTATGTTCATCCCTCCAGAGGACACAGCAACGAGGCTCCTCCCTGGAAGCAGAGAGACGCCCTTACCACACACCACACTTGCCAATTAATTCCTTGTCGGTGGACTTCTCAGCCTCCTGAAGTGTGAGAAAATAGATTTCTATTGTTCACAAATTACTCCGTCTACGATAACTTGTTATAGCAACACAGACTAACACAGATACCCAAAGGAAACCAATGCTGTAACTCTACCAAACTTTCCAAAAATACACTTTTATCCACAGTCCCCAACACCTGATAGACAACTCGACCTGAGCAGTGCCAAAATAATGAATGCTTTGACTGCACAGAGTGCCAGTCAAAGAAATAACTGGCATTCAGATAGACCCAGTTCCTAGTCCTGACCCTGCCATTAGCTAGCTGTATCACTTGGAAAATTCTTGTTATCCATTTAATCTCTGGTCTCCTTAACTGTAAAATGGAGAAATGGATTGTACAAGCTCTAAAGTCCCTTTAGATAGAACTCTGTATGATTCTGTCACTTTTCAAAGTGATTTCCTTAAGAAAAAATTATAACAACAGCTGGCCTCCAATAGCAGGTGCTGCTTCTCCACTGGAAGCCTCAGTCCAGACAGGGACTGCCCTTTCAGTCCCTCTTTCATGGAGGTGGTCCAGCTGACCCCAGAATGTGAGTGGAAATGATGTGTGTCACTGCCAGGCAAAGCAATTAGGATGCAGATACCTTTGTCTCCTTTCCTCTCTGGCTAGGTGCAGTGGATTCTGAGGGCCTATGGGAGGCAGAGCCACAAAATAGAAGGATCCAGAAAATAAGAATTGCCACGTGGAGGAAACACCACTGAGAAGGCACACTCAAGTTGGACTACTACTAATTAATGAGAAATCAATTCTTGAGTGAAGCCACTGGAATTTGGTGGTTTATTTGTTACTGCAGCCACCCCTACACTAAATGCTGCACGAAGAAGAGTTCTGTGAAATTTAGAGTTTCAAGACAACTTGAAAAATAGATATGTGAGCATTATGCAAAGAGCTGAGGAGACTGAACAATGACAAAAATATATCCCTCCCCAGGTTCAAATCTAGCAAAGAGGCAAATATCTGAATTACTATGTTATGAAGTAAAATGAGGCAATCTCCATAGGAAAAGAAAAGATGTGTAGAGAGCAGTGAGAGGGAGAAGGAATAAAGGCCATTCAACTCATCTCACTAAAGACAATT